TCGGCCACCGCCCCCTGACACGCGTGTCCCCGCAGCGTGAAGATCGCGCCCGGGGCCGTGGTGTGCGTGGAGAGCGAGATCCGCGGGGACGTCACCATCGGTAAGGCGCCCCGCCGGCCCGGGAACCGCGGCGCTCCGCCTGCGGGTGGTTCGGCACAGCGCTGCTGACACTGTCTCCGCAGGGCCCCGGACAGTGATCCACCCCAAGGCCAGGATCATCGCGGAAGCGGGGCCCATCGTGATCGGCGAAGGCAACCTCATAGAAGAACAGGCGCTGATCATAAATGGGTCGGTAAAACGCTCCCAAGGGGGCTGTTCTGCAGCCGGGTGGCTCTGGCTGAATTGGCTGTGGTCAGTGCAGGCTGCTAACCCTTTTGTCCCCGCAGATTTGCTGTGGATAGTATCCCTCCAGAACCGGGCAGCAGGGGGAGAAGCTTCATTTTTGATCTCCCCTGTTGTACATCATGGCTTTTTACAGGATGGGTATTCTGTGGATTGTTCAACAAGGACTGGTGCAAAAACTGTAGTTCATCTACTGAAGCAAGCAGGGGTAGAGTGACTGCACTAGTGCAGAGTTGCGCAGTTTTAGCTCCATGGAGATGGTTATATTTCTGGTTCTGTTTCTCATATCTAAGAGTCTCTTAACATGGATCCCTTATCTGACAGTCTTGTCAAATGTGAGGTTGTGTTTACAGCTACTTAAGGAGCAAGGCGTTGACTTTATACTAAGGTAACTAACTTCAGGTAGACAGGCTTCTTAAGGAAAAAAAAAAAAGTCTTTATGCTTTTATATGCATATGGCACTATGTCTTGGGGAGAAATCTTCTCTCTAGGAATCCTTGTCCTGCTGACAGATCCTTCTAGTCCTGATTAGAATATGAGACCCTGGGCAAGGACAGGCAGTTTGAAAACGCTGACAGTCTAGTCTAGCCACTTACTTTCTGTTCAGTTGATATCCATCTGAAGGATTGCATGGATAGGACAGCTTTTGTAACAGAATTGAGAGTCATCTGTCAAATAGGACAATATCTTTGGGCAGTATCTTTCTCATGTCAAGATTTGGATGTATTCTTCCATTTTGCAGATATCCAGAAAATATCACCCCGGAAACTGAAGAGGTGGAACCAAAACCAATGGTCATTGGCACCAATAATGTTTTTGAAGTTGGGTGTTGTATCCTTGCTCTGCAGTGAAGTTAGACTTTCTAATACACCATGCTTCCAGACCTGCACAAAAGGAAGCGCGTGTGGACTCCAGTGGGGTTTAAACATCCCAGGGCTATTTAAGATGCAGGATGTTGGTTTAAACAGAGTATCAGGGTTTACTCTTTGAAATAAAAGCTAAGAATTGTACGTTTCTCCTTAACATTTACTTTTAGATTCACAAGCAATGAAAGTGGGAGATAACAATGTAATTGAATCAAAAGGTGAGCATCAGGTTTGTTCTTTGCCCTTGTGAAGACTCACTTTTGCAGAATACTGGAAATGGCAAAGGATTACGTTGCGTTGTCTTTAGCTGAGCCTGAGCTACAGCTTACTGCGTGTTATAGCCACAAAGTCACGTTTTTAATGCTAGTGAACCTGGTGGCAACCTTGACGGGGTTCGACGCGTTAACATTGCGGCTGCTTGTCTGCAGAACGCATGTGTGTTACTGTGTTGGTGGGAGCTGGGTTTGGCTGTCTCTTTCTCTTGAAACTGAGCAGTTAGTGATTTTGGTGTTTGATGATGCAGGGTTTAACCACAGTATGGGCACATAAACACTAGCATTTTGGTTTTAGTTTTAGGGTTGTCCCTGATGGCTGCGCTTTAGTTTACGTGCAGAGCGGTCCATGAGCACGTGGTCTGGACTGGATTCCTTTCAGATAAAACTAAGCCAGAACTGTTTTGGCTGTTCTGTTCACAGTCCCTGTTCAGTCCATGGGATTAGACTAGAGCTAGTCTGAAGTCAAAAGCCTCTCGTGAGAGGGGCGGGTCTTCAGCAGGGAGTATCCATGGTAAAGCTTTGCTCCCAGCTCCCAGGAGGAGTTTCAGCATAGTACCATTGAGTTAGGTGACAGGATTGGGGGTAGGAGGAGGTTATTGAGGAATTGTGAACGCTGAAGGAAGTTGGGCAGAGAAAGGAGTCTGAAAAGCTGCATGTGGCTTTGAGTATGCCTGTCTCCCCTTTTCAACTCCTGCAGGGATTTCTCTCTCTCTGTTGCAGCATTTGTTGGTAGAAACGTGATTCTGACAAGCGGCTGCATCATCGGGGCCTGCTGTAACATCAACACCTACGAGGTGATCCCCGAGAACACTGTCATCTATGGGGCTGACTGCCTCCGTCGAGTGCAGACCGAACGGCCGCAGGTGGGTGTCACGCCACGCAAGGAGCTGTGTCTCCACAGGCTAGGCCACAAGGGTCTCTGTCCCCCTTCTTGCAGTGAGGCCTGTGCCTGACACCAGGTGGTAAGCTCCTGTGCCTTTGTTTCCAGCCCATTTCTGACAGTGTCTTTCTTTCCAGCCCCAAACACTGCAGTTGGATTTCCTGATGAAGATCTTGCCAAATTACCATCATCTGAAGAAGACCATGAAAGCCACATCCACTCCTGTTAAGAGCTGAGAACCCTCTGCTATTGGTTGCTGACCTGGGATTGCGTGTTGTCCTTTTAAGCACTACACAGCCACTGGAAGTGGCTGGTCTCTGCATCCTTCATCCCATTCCAGAAAAACTGCCTTGCTTATTTATGTTCTTTATTTATAACCCGCCAAGCATCTGAAAACAGCTTTGGATCTGTGTCTCTTGGGCACTCACTTTAATATTATACGTGCTTTGTTTTGGGAATAAAATAGCACTGGTTATTTTTACAAAATGGAATTACAGTCCTTTCTGATTAGAGTCTGGGTTAGGTAACACTTCGGAGTGTGCTGTATACTGTTAATAAAAGTATTGACCACTGCTTTACGATTCCAGCGGTGCTGTTTTATCAAAGCTTTCAGACCAAGGTGGTCCTGAAGTCCCGCAACAACGTTCTCTATGCGAGCGTCAGACAAATCCCTTTCCATCCATGCAAAAGGACCTTGTTTGGGCAAGCTGCTCACCTGCCATGCTGTGGCTGCAGCAGCGGCCTGCTACCTGCTCACCAGCTCACAGGTGGCCGGCTCCTGTAGTTCACATGACGCTACACCAGAGACAGCTGTGGCACAGAGGTGCCGCTTCTTTGCTGCCTGTTCCTTCCCGAGCCAGCCGGCAGAGGGAGATGGGGTCACGCTAGGGAAGGGCGGTGGAAAGCCTGGCTGGTCAGGGTGAGGAGGGCGGGAGTTGTGGTGTGCCCAGGCTGCGCACCCCAAAATTCAGGGGTGGGGTGGGGCCCGACCTGGCAGCAGGGTCAGCAAGGCTCCTCAGGGGGGGCCTGTCGGCAGCATTGCACCCTGAGAGCAGGTCTATGCGGTGCAGCTGGCAGAGCTGGTGTGCGCGGTGCTGCCTGGCGGGCGAGGAATGCCTGGAATGGTCTTGGAAACAGAGAAGAAAGAGGTCCTTAAAGCCACCTGCAGAAGCAAGCGGGGCTCCCCGCAGAACTCGCAGGCAGGCTTTCTTGGTCGAGCACATCCATCTTTCCCAGCCTGGGCCAGGTTTCCCAGGGAAAGCCCTTGCCCTGGTGCTCATTAGTGAGTCTGTGTAGGGCAGAGCAGCACCCCCATCTTGTGCCTGCTCAAAGCCTTGTCCCTCACACCGCCCTCTTCAGGGCTCCTTTTTCTCTCCCGAGTGGCCTTGTGCTGCTTAAGCGTTTGCACATATGTGAGAGACAAGGTGCAGCCAGACCTGCAGCTCCCTACGCTGTCAGCACTATATGCTTATGATACGCTGTGGGCCTTACAGCCAGCGATGGTACAGGTATGATAGAGGAAGCCATGGTACTTGACTCCTCTCCTATGAAGAAAGGCTGAGAGAGCTGGGCCTGTTCAGGCTGGAGAAGAGCAGACTGAGTGGCGATCTCATCAACATGTACAAGTATCTGAAGGGGGGGTGTCAAGAGGATGAGGCCAGTCTCTTCTCCGTGGTGCTCAGCGACAGGACAAGAGGCAACGGGCAGAAACTGAACCACAGGAAGTTCCACCTAAACCTGAGAAAAAACTTCTTGACTGTGAGGGTGACAGAGCACTGGAAGAGGTTGCCCAGAGAGGTAGTGGAGTCTCCTTCGCTGGAGATATTCAAAACCCACCTGGATGTGATCCTGGGAAATATGCTCTAGGTGACCCTGCTTGAGCAGGGGGGTTGGACTAGATGATCTCCAGAGGTCCCTTCCAACCTCAACCATTCTGTGATTCTGAGATTCTGTGACTCCACCGGGCAGGGGGGGCACAGAGCCTGCCAAAGTGGCACGTCTTATTCAACAGCCGGAAACTGGTTATCAATACACAAGATTTCCTCCCTCTCATTTGGCTCTTCCTACAACTAAGTCAGCTTTTTCCAAACAATTATTCTCCATGGGATTGCAGAACTACTGACAACACTGCGCAGCATAGTCCGATACCTGCCTGTTTTTTCTTCACTTACCTGTAGGCTGTAAGAGACAGCAAGTGCTAGAAAAGTGGTGACACCCTCTCTCCTCTGACCGCTGAAAACTGCCTTCTGTTCAGCTTGCTTTTCAGCCCATTCACTCGGCGCTGTGGCAAGATTGGAGCACAGCTGCAGCTTCTATGGCCGTCTGCTGCACTTCTGGGGAGCTTCAGATGTGCACAAGTTTTCAGGCAGATGAATGTCACGCTGACCCATAGAGATGTTTTTCATAACTTTCCCTTCTACCTTTGTAAAATATGTTCTGCAGTTTTATCCCAATGCAGAACAAAACTGAGTGTTGGAAGGAACAGAATTTCTCGCAGGAGAGAAAGCAAGAGCCACTGTTTGTACTGGAACCCCAAACTTCAGCTGAGATGCAGGAAACTGTTTGCTACGGCATTCCCTGCTTGCAACTTTAATGCGGACGGATTTGGAACCGAGGATTTCAGGTAGAGCACGGCTTGACATAAAAGCGAGGGAACGTGCACTACAACTAATAAGATTTTCTCCTTAAACTTACAGGGATATCAAAAAGCTGGATTTGGGCCTTGAATTTCCAAACTGCGGCCCATTGCTGCTTGGAAACTGTGTGGCTATTCTCCAAAGCAGTCTAAATACGGGCTGCAAATATTGTCACAAATATGACAGTTTCCATCTAATTGAGGTAGACCCCGCCAAGTTTTCTTGTTCAGATGACCAGAAAGATCTTGCAGTTGAAAACAATGGAAGAGAAAGTAATGAAATCAGGGTGAACCGCGCGGACTTCCATATATGCCACTGAACTCAAATAATGCCTCTTACGTGCTTAGCAGCGTGGTTTCAAACAGGCAATTGAAAAAAAAAAGACATGTTGGAGCTGGAAAAACAAAAAAGTTGCACCAGTGCAGAGCCCCGGGTGGTGGCTGCTGCGAGAAAGCACAACGTTCCTGCGGGTCCACGCTCGGAAGCGGTCATTTGAAGCCACCTATGAAAAAAATAAGCCTCGTACACTAGCCTGAGTTGACCTGTTGGGCAGTCGTGGAAAAGCCTCTTTTCTGCTCACTTTTCATGCTCGCTTTCAGAGCTACAGGGGCCTGCTATGTCTTCACCTCGCAGGGGAAAGCAGGGAAGCAGCCTGGGTAGCCACCAAAGGGCCCCTTGGCCCAGCTAAGGGGCTATCAGTCGAGCGCCGCTGTCAGCAAAAGCGTTCCTCCGACAGCAAGCACGCTGCAAGTACGCTCGGCAAAACCTGTGGCGTGGCACGGGAAAGATTAAACAAATCTCTCCTTTCCTCCTCGAGCCACCTTAAATTTCATACCCTGTAGGACAACAGCGCCCTCAATAGCTGCTACAGGGGTTTTCTCCTCTCAGAGGTAAAGAAAGGCCAGGTTTCTTTCTTAACTCCCAGGCTTTCATTCGTATTTGTTCTGCTTCTTTGTTTCCTTGATTGCTTTTCAAGAAAGCTTTGAACAGTTAATACAATTCTGACAGAAACAGAAATGCTCTCTTATTACAGAGGCACCCAGAGGGCTGGTAAATATTACACTAGGCTTGTGCCTCAAAAGTGACTTTTTTGCTGAAAAAGCCCACCAGCCCATCCCAAACTTTCCATGGATAATGGGCCATTTCCAGGCCTATAAGGGCCCTATCCTAGGAAACCAAACATACAACTCCAGGAAGAATATGCTGCTAAATTTGTTCGGTTCTCTCCCCTGGGAGTGGTTTAAACCCAGCTGTTCCTCATGTCCTAAAAATGAGGCAAATTTTCAAAATCTCTTCCTCTGAGGTAAATTCCCAGCAACAGCCCTATTGCCGTGCAGCCGCTGAGCAGCTCTACACCATGTTTGGGGAGAAAGCAGCAAAGCACGGACGGTACACGACAGGTTCCCGCGGGATCCTGCACCCCCGGCTCTCTCCAGGGCTGATACTGATTTTGGGCTGCTCACTCACCTTCTGATAATGAACAGCACATACAGGTAAATCCAGCAGCACACTGAATTTATCCCAACGGCCCCGGCCACGATTTCTACCTGTGGTGGCTCAGGTTTTCTGACTGTAGGCACCGTCCTACCAGGAAGAGAGAGAGGTGGGAGACCAAGACACCAGTCCTCAAACGAATCCCGATTGCCTCTCTTCCCAGCATGGTGAGGTTGCACCTGTGCCACAACTCTGCAGAAGCCTGCAGACCAGGGGCACCGTCGCTCTGCTAAAAACCCCCCATCCCATCTTTTTCCCGGTGGTGAGTGAGGTCCCTTCTTTTTCCCCTGCTCACCAAGGTAACATGTTTTTTTTAGAAGTGCTCGGGCCTCTGCCTGCTCTTTCTGACCCTGAGGCTGCTCAGGTGGCTCGCAGGGCCACCTGCTATCCCAGCCGGACATCTCCCCGCTCCCGGAAATTCGGACCGCACGGCTAGTTTCAATCTAGCTCCCACCAGGACAAGTTCTGCTCTGTAGGGGAACATTTTTTGAGAGGTTGGAAGCTTGCCAGGTGACGTTGGGGGCATTTCGGGTAAGCGCTGCCACATGGGAGGGACACTTAGCCCCCCGGAAGAGAGGGGCTCGCGTCCCCTCGCCTGCCCAGCGCCGCGGGAGCAGCCTCCGCCCACGCCCGAGTGGCCCCAGTGTGGGTAGGACGAGCGGCCCAGGGCGACGCGCAGACGGACAGCTGTATTCGGTTTGGCCGCTCTCTCCAGAAAGGCAGGCTGGGCCTTGAGGACCGCGCGGGGCCCTCCCATCTGC